CGAAAAACATTATCGTTGATAATATGTCTTACGCTTTTTTCGTCTTAATTAAAATAACTAAATAATTATACCCATCATTAATGATAATTCGTCCAAATGTCATTGTCCTTAAGTCTATTTATTAAGTAAACAGTCGCGGGGAAATATTCATAGCCATTAGTTCTTGGAACAATAATTTACACGCATATGGAATATGAACTTGTGATATCTATAATCACAAAATTAAATTAATTAGGAAATCATTATCGTAATGACAATAGTTTGACGAAAAGGAAAGTTCGCTAACCTGCGTGGTATTTTTACAGGCCTTACAATCGAAGATATTCTTTTTAAGGTCTGCGATGGCCATCAGCCCGCATAAATCACAGATGTGGATACGATAGGCGTCCGATGCGTCAAACAATCGTTCCTAGGTGAAGTTTGAGAAAGGCATTATTAGTTGGTAGATCTTGAAAACAACAATAGAATTTCAAGTAAGTGTTAGATGCACTACTTTTAGGAACATGGCTGCACCGTGGGATATCATACAATCGCGTTCCATTTCACCGAAACGCAGCCCACCATCTCGACTGCGACCTTCAACAGGTTGTCTTGTAAGAATCTGTACCGGGCCTCTGGCACGAGAACTGACGAACGCACGAATCGTCAAGTAGATTAGATTAGATATAAAAAAAAAATAAATAAATAAAAGGTACCCGGTTAAACAGTAGTAGGGAGTAACATAACGCCTACTGGATTTTGTCATCGACCATGTGTTTTAAACGCTGATAGTATGTAGGCCCCAGGAAAATTTGGGCTGCCAGCTTACGTCCCGTGTGACCGTTGTACATAACCTCAAAACCTCGAGACTGGTATCCCACATTCTTCAAACTCTGAGAAATGGCTTCGACCGTCACATCGGTGAATGGCGTGGCGTCACCTTCGTTTCCGGTTTTCGTCGAAACCTAAGCATTTTATTGTTTTGATTGACAAAGAATATTTTAACACGATAAATGAATCATCATCATCATCATTATTATTATTATTATTATTATTATTTTTTTTATTTTTACCTTGCCTAACAAACATTCGACCAAGTGCCCGATTGTCATACGACTTGGAATTGCGTGGGGATTGATGATAAGATCCGGAGTAATCCCTTCGGCGGTGAATGGCATATCTTCTTGCCGATATGTAATACCGATGGTACCTTTCTGACCGTGCCTACTTGCAAACTTGTCTGGATGAGTTTAAAAAAAGGGGGGAAATTTTAAGTAACCCCAGCTTCATATGCCAAAAACTGCAACACACATTGCATAGAGAGAAACTTGCTCACCTCCCATTTGCGGAACTCGTGTACTTCTAACTCGCACTTTTACAAACTTCATTCCTTCCGCATTTGTCGTCACCATCACCTGATCAACGATGCCATTTTCCGTGCTTCGCATTGGTGTGGAGGCATCTCTTTTTGAGTGGGAAGGTAACCTCTGACCAAGTTCAACCGCATCGGAAGGTATTGGCGTAACTTTTCCAATAATTATATCATCCCCCGAAACTCTCGTGCCCGGAGCAATTAAACCATCATCCTCTAATTTTTCATATGTTCCGTGTTTAAGGCGAAGCACATTCTCTCTCGTGGGTTTCTCAAACTCTTCCATTCTTAGCATACCCTGAAGAAAGAATTTATGATCTTTAATTAATGGACCTCGTTACTGGAAACATTTGCTCGTTCAACTTCAAACCTAGACCAGTTATATACCACTTTTTTTTCTTGATCCATGTAATTCCTGTAGAAAATACTTCTAAATAGTCCTCTGTCTATACTACTTTGGTTCATGATAACAGAATCTTCTTGATTGTACCCACTATAACAAAGAATCGCCACAATAGCATTTTGACCTGCTGGCAACTCGCGAAATCTCAGGAATTCCATTGACCTTGTGGTTACCAGGGGCTTTTGTGGGTAATACAAAATGTTTGCTAAAGTGTCCATCCTTAATTGATAATTTGTCACGTAAATACCCATGGCCTGTTTACCCATAGCGGATTGATATGTGTTACGAGGTGACTTGGAATATTAGAAAATGGGGAGTGAAGAAAAAATTATTTTGATTAGGCATTGTTGCGAAATGGCATAATGTTAAATGTAAAAATCATGATGATGGTTGTCGACTTACTTGGTTGTGATCTGGAAATGGAATAATACTCGCACATATGCCGAGTATCATGCTTGGATGTATTTCGCAGTGCGTGAAAGTATGTATGTGTAAAGCTGTTTCACTTTTAACACGTGCAGCAATATCCTTTTCATCGAATTGCGGTACTATTCCTGTCTCATGATACCTCCTCGATATTGCCAGATCCTCGGGTGTCATGCAAATCATCACCGTCTCCTCTTCCTCGGCATCTATGTATTCTATAAGATTGTTGCCAATTAAATCATGCCAAGCAAGATGTTCATGATTCTTCTTTTGCTTCTTCTTGCGGGTTCCATCTAAATCATCCTCATGTTCATCCATAATATCCTCCATATTGTCCTCATCATCTGAGTACTCGTCATCTTGTTCATATTGATGTCCGGACTGACGATTTTTCTGTCGAATTTATAAATTATTTAAGGGCGAAAATAATTTCAGTGGCCACTAAAACTAATTTAATTCACACAACAGTGCGCACACATCATTACTCACGATCTTGTGGACGCCCAAACTCTGCACATGAGCTTTGGTTATTCTTAGACGTTCATTTTCCACAAGGAATAAAGGCCGACACACTCTACCCGCATCCGTGTATATTCGTAATTCCTTTTCGCGAATGTCTCGAACAATGCTAACTTCAGGGCTAACATCCGAATTTCTCCTTAAATTTTTTAGCGTGCTGGCCAGTTGTTCTGGTGTGGTGGAAATTCCCGCCCACTTACCATTAACAAAAACCTTAGCATTGTCTTGGATGTTGGCTGGGTCGAATTGTTGATTTAAATTGATCATGCCATACTCCTCCAAAAAATCTATGATCGGTTTTGACGGACTTCCAACAGATATATATGACATCAACGAAAGATTTTTGACGAGACCGCAAGCTTGACCTTCCGGAGTCTCGGCAGGGCACACCATGCCCCAATGCGTGTTATGCAGTTGTCGAGGTTTGGCAATCTTACCATCCCTCCCAATGGGCGTGTTGCACCTCCTGAGATGAGATAGAGTTGAGGCGAACGTGTATCGATTGAGCACTTGAGACACACCGGCGCGGGACTAAGTTTCGGGTGAAATTTTAATTATGAATCCTGTTCTCGTGTGAATTTCCCAATTAGTTCGTGAGAATGAGATTCGTCGTTTACCTGCATGGCTTTCTTCTGATCACCCCAATTACCTGTCGCAAGAGAATACTTTAGACCATTAGTAATCGTTTGCGCCTTGATCGCCAAATTTAAGTTAAACTCCCGGTTCGTGTCTATGCACTATCAAGCAGATTGAATAATGTTCAAAATTCGGTTAATTTGCATCATTCAATTTATGTAAAGGCGACACGCACAAACCTTTTTCAAGTGCGATGAGACATCCTTGGTAAGTTTTTTAAACAACATGCGGAACAATGACGCCAGTAATGGCCCCGCCAGATCCATCCTCTTCCTTCCATAGTGATCACGATCATCCAATTCTCGACGTCCAAGAGCGGCAAGTAACAATCGGTGCACCATATATCCAAGGAAGAACGCCTTACGTTTTTCACATCCAAATTCAACGGAGACATGAGGCAATAACTCTTTTTGCAGAATTTCCTTTGCATATCTGATAAAAAATTTGTCGTTATTGTCGTTGAGCTCATAAAGACGTGTGAACCTCAAATCCCAGAAACTTCAAAGATACTTTATACGCTTGTCTCTCGTTGCACCGGTGGCTGTACCCCTACGTCCAATCCAATCCGCCGCCACCTGGTGTGGTTTTTTTTTTTTAATCAATAGGAAATCACAATTTTTGAGCGAATAACCCCTCAAGTAAAATGTACGCTTACATCAGAACTCTGAATAGCAAACGCATCTTCAATGCAGGGTTTCAAAGCCTCCAACATCTGGGTATCATTCGGATCATAACAAACATATTGCAGAAAATCTTGATCTGAGACGGCGCCAAGAGCGCGAAATGCAATCACGACCGGGACTTCCTTCTTTATGTATGGTATTGTTGCCTGAATGGATTGACCGGTTGCCTAAATGTGGTGGCGGCGAACATTGAACTTGTTAAAGTGAACGGGTGATTTCAAATGAGTGCTCGAAGATGAAATCGCATATCGCTTACCCCTTTTTCGGCATTCTTTGCCAAAAGTTTGACGAACAAGGTGCTTGCCACTTTAGACCCCTTTT